ATATATAACCAGTATTTATATTAACTTTATTATATATATATATATATATATATATATAGCTGATACCTCTTAACAAGTGGACTGAATGATTACAGAAAGAGTTGTCTACAAAACTCTGGAGGTGCAGAATATAACATCAGTCAGCTAAGTGTCAAATTTTATATCTGTATTAATCCTATATATAAGTAAAAGCTTTGTCACTTAGCTGATGGATATTACTCCAGAGTTTTGTAGACAGACATTCCTGGAATTACTCCGCCCACTCATCAGTGGGTATCAGCAATATATATTATGGTTAGCAATATATATAATGGTTAGATACTTACATTTTCCAAACACATCTGTCTGCTTGAGTGGCTAGACAATACTTGTCACAGATACCAGATCAGATGCATTTATGTTTGTTCAACACTTACAGAGCCCACCTGTTGTTTATACTGCAACTATGCTGTAGAGACCTGAGTTACAGATTCTGGTAGAGAGTGTATATGCTGTCATGATTAGCAGTTTGAACGATGACAATATACTCAAACTCTTGATCACAATATCGTCATTCATTTATATATATATATATATATATATATATATATATATATATATATATGTTAAAAAATTATAACAGTGTCAGCAGCAGCCTGTTGCAGTTTCATAACTGGATTCTGCATGTTTTATTCCATATGTGCTGCAAAGGAAGGTCAGGAAATCAAATGTGAGGGGTCACTTCCTGGCAAGTTGAGGTCCACCATAAATTAATGTCATCAGCACTTTCTTCTACTCTAGTCCTGAACTTTCACATTAGCAATAACCTTAATCAACACTATCATCATAAAGGAAGTGATCAGCAAAGAAATTAAATGCCAAATTCACTATAATTGAGAGAATAGAAAAGTTCAGAACAGATAACATTAGAAAGATTTTAGAGTTCTCTGAAAATAAGTGGATACAATGTTTAAAAATGCACTATCCAGTCGGGCTCAATCACAAATTTAACAATATAGATAGTATCAATATATAACCCCACACACCAGGACCTACCCACATTTCTTACCCACACAAGACAGACATGCTTACGGAGGTGTTGAGGCCTCACACTTATACACACACCCACACGAATATACACACATCATACTCACTCACTCCCTAATGAGCCAAATGATAACACACACCCATAGTAATATACACGCTTACACACATTATACTCACTCACTCCCTAAGAACCACATAACACACACACTTAACAGACACATCCCCTTTTCCAGGAACCAATAAATCTGTCAAAATAACCAAGGGAATTTAGAGCAGCATGAATCCATGCAGCTTTTATCTTAAATAACAACTGAAAAGAGACTGTTTGACAACACAAGGACTGACCAAAATTCATGTTAAAAAAATAAAAAAACAAATGAAAACTACAGACAAAAGTTCATTTTCTCCATTAAGACATTCAGTTCTGTAGTTACTGCTACCAGCAAGCAGAAATTTTTTTTTTCTCCTGATGATGGCCATGCTGCCCGAAACTAGTAAAGGAATCTAAATGAAATAATAATAAAAACGAAAGAATATTAATATACAACCCAGTGTGTCTGAAGATTTTAATTTTTTAATATTTTTTATTGTTCTATATATATATATATATATATATATATATATATATTTGAAGAGTGTCCAATATTGCAGATAGAGAATTTATAGATGCAGACAGAGTGGACATAGGGATTAACACTGCATGGTGATTGGCTGTTTCATGCCTCCACCAATCATCTGAACACATATATTTGTGTGTGTGGAGAGGGGGAAGGTGTACTGTTTTACCTATGCCATCAAAAATAAGATGTAAGTTTTTGATATTTTATGTAAAATTACTATCCATTCATTTGCCAGCTAAAATAATCTGTGTGCTGAAAATAAATTAAGACATAAATAAATTTTACCCTTGTGTCAAAATAACGGGAATTTCTATTTCTACTATATCATCAGAAGACATACATCACCAAAAATGTCCACTACATAAAAATGGGAAAACTGTCCATTTCTGTTTTCTGGAATCTTCTGAAGACATCACAACTATAAAGTTGATCACAAAAAAGAAAAGAAAAAAGCCATTCAGACTTAATCATCTTTGGGCCATTCAATTATTTAAGTTTAAAAAATAGGGAATACATAATGTAGTTTGAGAAAGATTGGTTTCCGTGGTATTTGTAAGATTAATCTATACATTCAAATAAATTATAATTACTACTGTCAAAGGATAATGGCAAAAAAAAAAATTGCAAGATAACCATTCAAATAAGTACAAAATGGGAAGACACAGAATGGTAACTTTTCATAGGTAAGATATAAAAAAAAATCACAGATCTCCTTTGGAGAAAATGTCTTGAGAGAATGAAAGAGTTAGACACTTGTAAAATAAGGCCTTTGTGGTAGGAGGATATTGATGTGAAGCAGTAAACAAGTAACAATTAATTTATTTTACCTTTACTTTATATATATATATATATATATATATATATATATATATATATTATATAATATATTCCATTATCTAATGCAGTTGGCAACCATGATGAAATGTTGAAAACAAATTTTCTTCTTCAATTGGTTGATTCTTATTTGAGAAGAAATGCTGAATAAAAATCTGGGAAAACATGAACCTTTATGCCCCCCCTCCAAAAAAAAGAGTTTCAAAAGGACTTTTTTTTTCATTGACACCACCATTATTTTAAATATGTTCACTCTCTTGCCAATATTTATTTAAAAGATTATATAAAATTATTTATTTTTATAAAGAAATAATTGTGAAAAGAAACATTTTTATTCAAAAATCTTTTTAAAAAATTACAAAATTATCAAAATATGTAAACCATGTACAATGCAATATTTATTATTTAGCATTTTATAAATAACTAGGAAAACAAATTTTTATTCATAATTTTATAAAAATATCAATGAATTATGAAACAAAATTTGAATAAACATGATTTTCTAGACACAAAACATTTTCTTCTCTTATTATTGTCTTAATTTTCCAATTTTTTTTTTTAACTGTGATCTTGAAATCAAAGTCTTGAAATTCTAGCAATTATAGGTTAACCCCACTTTCTACTCATTTTTGAAAACATAATTTTAGAAAAGTTTTAAATGGTTGCTTAATTTAAAAAATGCCTAGAAAATCTGCCAAGGGATTATCTATATTCACCTAAGTACTGATTGCTGAAGAAATCTTAATTTCTGAATAGAAAGATTATTCACATTCATTTCTTTATAAAATGGTAAATAATTTTTTGTAATAAAACATGTAAATAAACATTGCTGAGGGAATGAACCAACTAAAATAATAGCAGTATCAATGGAAAAACTATCTTTTTAAAATACTTTTTCAAAGGCACAAATGTCTATGTTTGCCAAAATCTGAATCAACAAAAAAATAAAAAGGTCATGAAGAAATATTTAGTGGCTGAAAAATTACAGTCAGCTAGAAATTGCAGACTTGCTGAATATTTTTCTTAAAATCAAGAGTAATTGAATTTAACACTACAGAAATGACAGAGAAGCTAACCCCTTTAAAGGATTATGTGCCTGAGCAAGATACCATAAGTAACACTATCTACTTCTTGCAAGATATATCTGAAAAGAAAGGAAAAAATATTAAAAAATAACCTAAAATGTTTAAATTTAAGCTATAAATAACTTTCAATTATGTTAATACCTTTTTTTATCTCCAAAAATTAAACTTTTTTCTCTTATCTTTTAAATTCCAATATCCTGCAGCTGGTAATGTCATAAGTGAAACACAGTAAACTGTATCTTTTTCTCAAAGGTAGATCTTTAAGGATTTAATTTTAGGTAAAGTCAGTTTGCTTCTACACCTTTGTGCAAATTAATTGAAAGAACCGCTTTAGTTTCCTTTCTTTCACCATATGGTCAGTTGTAGATCTACTGGAGTGACAAGGTGTAATCAATTTCTATTTTTTTCTCAGATTAGATCATTTGCAGTGGTGTGCAGTAATATGAATCTATGTTCAAGGTGTATGATGAAATTTGTTTGGCCTTGAAAAATATTGCGTCATCTGTGATTGCATCAGATTTTTATCATGCTCAGACACTATTGTCTCAACTGTCAATTTGTTGCCCAATGACCATTGTCTGTGATGGACGTTACTCCAAGGAAGTGGCGTACATAAATTGTAACACTGCACGAACACGCTGGCAAGCCTTACCAGTGAGAAAATCAGAGTACTATTGACTGGCTCAGAAACTCTGCTGATTTAAATCCAATCAAGAATCTGTGGTCAATTTGCAAGGAACAAATCTGTGGAATGGACATACAAAGTACTAACATGTGCACTGGACCATGTTTCATTGGAAAAAAAAAATTGAAATAATAACAAAATTATTCATTTTGTTTCAATTAATTTGCACAAGGGTGTAGGTGATCATAGGCCTCCACATCTTCCTGGATAATTAATTTGCACAATGGTGTACTGTGGCAGAGTGAATAATCTTTTCTCAAATTTTCTCTACTGATTGATGCTAAAATGCAATTTGATTATTTTAAGATAACAGTAATCAACTAAGAGAAATACTGTTCTTGATTTTCACCTGACTCATCATCAATGACATGCAATTTCTACGTAGTTTGTCGCCAATGAAATGCAATTTCTACATGGTTTATTGCCAATGACATGCAATTTCTACATGATTTGTCGTCAATGACATGCAATTTTTCTGTGGCTCATCATCAATGACACTCTATGCATTTCAAGTAAAAATATCTATTTCCTTATGCTCTTTGATTTGTAGCCACTGTCTCATGAAGAACAGTAATTGAAAAAAAAAAAAAATGCTATTGACAAACCATATTTGATCAAAACTCAATGATTTAACAGCCAGTTGCAAATGGCTGACCCACCCACACAGTTTTTTGAACTCATCTCAATGGAACAATATAGAGATCAAAACAACAAAATTGATCTAATTTGGCTTATTTTTAAAATATTCTTTTAAGTGTCATTTTGAGCATCTGTATTTGTGACACAATTTGATGTCTGTCCTTCTTCTGTAAGCTGAGAAACTGGATCATAAATTAAACCTGGAAAAACAAAAGGAAAAATTATAAAGAAATGAAACTCCAATCATACTTTGTTCCAAAGAACCTTTCCTATCTGATTATTAAGAATTCAAACACATGCCTTGCATAAGATTAGCATTTTATCATATTAATGAACTAATAGAAATTTATCCAATTTATACTGGAGGAGATATTTATTATTACATATTTTTAGTGTGTACATATATTTAAAAATTTTTTTTAATTCCAAAATGATATTTAGAATTTTTTTTTTTAATTCCAAAATATTTAAAATATTTTTTTTAATTCCAAAATATTTAAAATATTTTTTTTAATTCCAAAATGATATTTAAAATATTTTTTTTAATTCCAAAATGATATTTAAAATATTTTTTTTAATTCCAAAATGATATTTAAAAATTTTTTTTTAATTCCAAAATGATATTTAAAAATTTTTTTTTAATTCCAAAATGATATTTAAAAATTTTTTTTAATTCCAAAATGATATTTAAAAAAGTTGTTTTTAATATGAATATTTAAAAAATCTCTTATTTCAAAATAAAATTTAAATTTTATTAAAATTCTAGAATATTAAAAAATATTTGATTAACTTTCGAAATAGTATTTTAAATAATTTTTTAAATTCCAAAGAATACTTTAAATAATTTTTCCAATTCCAATATTTCAAATTTTAAATAATTTTCAAAAATATAACTTTACCTAATTCTTTTAAATATAAAAAATATTTTAAATAGTTTTTAAGTTCCAAAATAATATTTAAAAATTTTTAACTCCAAAATAATATTTAAAAAATTTTTTTAATTCGAAAACAATTGTAAATGATCTTAAATATTTTTTTAATTCCAAAACAATATTTAAATTTTTTAAATTTAAAAGTAATATTTAACAATCAGGTACATGCCTTGAAAATTCTGGGAAACTTACAAAAAAGAAATTCAAAGTTGAAGTTGAAAAAGTGCAAACCTTCAGGATTGTAGCAGACGTTTTTCAAATAAAGACCATGTGGGGGAGAAGGTAAAATTTTGGTATTTGTAGATTTTAAGTCTGGATCAAGTAACATCTGCTTCACATAGTCCAGAGTGAAATAGTCAAGAGATGCTTGGATCATTGCACCTACCATTCGTCGGATCTTCAAACAAGAAAAGAACAAATAAGTAATAAAAATCACAAGAAATATGAGAATCTTTTTGTTTACTCCTTATTAATAAGGAGGATTGAAAATGAGAAAAATGATTAATAAGGAGGATTGAAAATGAGAAAAATGATTAAAAAAAACAAAAATTCATTATTTGAATGATGACATTTTTCTGGTGCCTTTTAAGCCAATATCTTTTTAGTATCTGTCTATATTTCTGAGATGAGGTATTATGTACACTATTTACATTGATCGGACTATCATCCTCATCTTTGTTGCCATATTTATCACAATGAAACTGAAACATTGTGATAAATATGCCAACAAAGATGAGGATGATAGTCCGAGCAATGTAAATAGTCTCAACTTTTTAGTTGAGATGAGAAGGGGTGCTGAAAAGTTATCTCAACCAAAGAGTTGAGAGAACTTTTCATCAGCTCTTCAAATATGCTTCTGTAAGATTGGAATCTGACCATTATAAAACAAAAAAAAAAAAAAAAAGCAAAAACAGTTTAGCTCAGTTCATTGAGAATTTTATCCTTTGTGTGGGTGTGTCTGCCAACATATTTCGTTCATTATAGACTTTAAGGAGAGGATAAACAGCCATGACTTCACAATTGTGTTGAAGCATGAAACACACTGTCACCACGGGGTGTTGATTTTATTATTCACTTTTATATTTACATACGCTCTATCCCTAATATTGAGCACTTTTAATCCATAAATGTAGCAGATGGTAAAACTATATTTTATGGAAAAAACTTACACCAATGATAAGTGTATAAATAAGGAAAAAAATCAAAAACATATAAGCAGTCAATTGAAGAGTGGGCAGATAGGTCTGCCTACAAATCTCTGGAGTTGGGATGATAAAGGTAACATCAATCAGTTAAGTGACAAAATTTACTATATATATATATATATATATATATATATATATATATATATATATATATATATACACACACAAGATAAGATAAGATAAAGAACAAATAGGAAACGTTTATAAATCAAACATGTTTAGCTTTTATTAAAGCTTCATCAGAGAATAAATTAAAAAAAAAAAAAAACTTTCTGGTATTTTTCTTTTTGTGTTGTTTGATTTTCAATGGTTAAACAGGCTTTGTGTACATTTGACTTGCCAAGCAGTGTTTGTGCATATAATTTTTATATATATATATATATATATATATATATATATATATATATATATATATAAATGGAAAAAAATTGGGGATGAATAACTTTTGTGAATTAGCATTAGATCGTCCTCAACCCACATTTGTCAACATCAAAAAACATTGATATTTGCTTTTTTTTTTTAATAATTTTAGAAATGGGGGTTCCGTTCATAATATAAACATGGTGTCAAATTGATCCCTGAATTCTTAAAGAATTATGTGTATTTTGTTTTTTATTTAGAAATGTTAAGTTTGAAACTGATTATGTCATTGATAACTGCATACTACTGATGTTGTCTTATTTCCCAATTTGTAATAGTATGCAGTTATTAATGACATCAGAACAGTTCCAAACCTGGACACATGGCCTTGTCAATGAACAAACTTTTCTCATTGCTGTATATGTAACAACCGTTGTTTTTCTCACAGAATTTTATAACTCATAACCTTCAAATGTTCTTGATGACAACCAAGAAAGTTTATCATATCAAGACTATTGCTACAGTAAATATTCTGATGAATTACATTCCCTTGTTGTACCAGTTCAGACCATTACAGCTAAAACTTGCCATGCCATATACACAGCAGTGAACGATCTGCATTACTTTTGTATTCCATTTGTAAGAAAGAAATTCCATTTCTTCTCAAGAACTAATGCTTTATGGAACAGATACATCCCCTACCATGATAATTTTAACCTCTTCAAGTCTACGATCAACTGTTATCTATCTTACATATCCTCATATTCAAAAAATAGACCCAGTCAGTAATCCTCTGCATTGAGTGGCTCTTGAGCCTTATATTGGGTGAACAATGGCATTCAAAGAAAAAAATGATCAGTTTTTCCAGGAACTGTTCCATGTTCTGTCACTGCCTTTGAACAAACCAAATTTTATCATGGCTTTTATCCATTAATAGAATTTTTTTGCAACATGCTGATACATGTTGAAATCCTCATGGTTTTTAGTATTGTTGAAGTTATCGCTAACATCTTTTATTGAGATTTACAAACTCTACACTTTGTTCCATTTCACAAACCAATCGATAAAATATAAAAACTTGAAAGATATACAAAAAACAATATTTCCTTTTTATTAAAAAAGTATTTGCTATTTTAATCATTAAATTGTTTTTAAAATAGTAGGAATATTTTTTATGTTAAATAATAAAACTTATTGTACTAAGCTATGGACCTTAGTAAAACTAACTGTACCCACTTACCTGTTTGAACCCCTCCCCAAAATTTAGTTTCCATCAGTCAATATATGGCTATTTTAGAGGGTGTGACAGACGGACTAATGAAAGTCACAGAATTATATATAAAGAAGACATGATTCTCAGCTAAATTTTTCTTTTTTTTTTTATATTTTTAAAATCTAGTGTTAGTTCTTTTCTAATAGCTGTCAACACTGCAAATGGCTATCATATTCTCCATGCAGAACACTATTTACATAATAAAAAAATTATAATTAAATTTCTTACTTGTCGATATAAAAAAGATTTGCTGGTGACATGGATTTCCCAAACTTCCAATCCGGGATTATGGTACCTCAAAAATGAAGTGCCTAATTTCACATCAATAGACACAGTCCTAATGGGGTCCTTATTTTTTTCTTGTAATGACTTGATTGTTGTGAAAGAGGTATAATCATATGTTCCTACCATCAATTCAGCACAAGCCATCAATTTTTCTATATTTACTGGTTTGCTGTCAAAAGAAATATAGATCAATAATAATAATAAAAAAACAGTCTAGTAATAAAAACTATCTGTGTACATTTCTGAGATGAGGTATTGTAACTATTTACATTGTTTGGACTATTGTTCACATCTTTATTGCCATATTCACATTTCGGTTGATGTATACTTAGAGAGTGTCAATGGAAAATACAAAAACTTAAGAAATCAGTGCATATGTGAGGCTATAAAAAATCTCTGGCCAAGCATAGAAATAAATACAATATGGGAACCAGTAATACAGAGAGCTAGAAAAAAATAACAATAACAAAAAATTGTAATATGAGCTCTGGTAAAAAATGGTTACTAAGATATTAGGTTTATAAATCACAAACATTCACTCATTAATATCACCAAGGACACATGACCGAGTGGATAAAAGCATTGGTTGATTGACCCAAAGAGTTGAGTTTAATAATACCTGGCCACAGCAGAGAGAACAAAAACTTAGCTGAATTATCTAGAGGAATTAACTAAAACTGAAATATCCAATATATTTGTTGGAACTTCAAATCAAACCCTTTATTTAGTTGTCCACAGGGGTAGATTGTCCTTGTGGATGACTAAAAAAGTTTGGTTTGAAATTCCAACAAATATCTCCTGAGGAAGGCTGAAGTGTACAATGGCCAAAACGTCATGAATATGGCAATAAAGACATGGACAATGAAAATTGTGTAAATGATAAAAACGTAGGCGATCATGTATCTTTTGATACATGACTAACAAGGCAGATTTTTTTCTGCAGTAGGTCGCCATTTCTTTTTGCTGTAGACCAGTTGCCATCCAATGCTATAGAACCTGGTCTGTCCTGTTATTTACCCATAGCTTGGGGGGGGAGAAGAGGATTCATAACTTTCCTAAGGATATTAGCATTTAAGTGAATGTAATGGATTTGACTGGAATTTGAACATGGCCCTCCAATTCCTCAATCTGAGCCGCTATCCATTACTCCACTATGCCTGATAAAAACTAGTTTTCCAAATTCTGAATCATAACAACAATTACAATTTATGAAGGATCATTAAAAAAAACTTTTACTATTTTGTGATTAGCATTCAGTTTACTTTGTTACTGTTTAGATGAAGCATTATTACTATTAAGTTTCAATCTCATTATTGTTGCTTTTTAGCTAAATCATTTTCATTATTGTGATTTTATTATTATACTTATCTTATTTATTTTACTCTACATTATTGTTAATTTTTATCACCACACACTGAATTCATGCAATAATGAAGCATTATTTTGGTAAATGTGTAGTGGGGGATTATAATTCTGAGTAAATAATTATAAAATCCCTAACATTTATATATACAAAATACTTGTAAAAACAAAATGAGTATTATCTATTATCTGATTGTTATATGATGCTGCAAAAATGAGAGATGGTAATACTGAGCACAATTGTGTGTTTGGGGTCAGATGTAGATGAAATATGGATTGGATTCTGACAGAATAAGTTAATAATAAGTAAAATGTATGCAGTCTTTCTCATATGTTTTCTTATAGATGTGTGTAATGAGTGTCCAGATAATTTAGTTAGAAAATACAAGAACTTTCTGGGGTTTTCTTACCTCAAAGTTTTGTTGAGTGCTAAAAGATAAATGTTACTATTATGGCCTGTAAAGGAAAAGGAGATTAAATTTTCATTGATGCATGTGTTAATGACCTGTTCGTGTGAACTGCTCATCCAACAGTGAGAATGTCATTTGTTTGTGTGTGTAGTGAGGTCAATTCTCTTGGGTTTAGAATGAGTGAATTAATGATAATCATAATAATTATTTTATTTTGACACTATAATTAATTTTTATTTATTTATTTTTTTAGACACAACAAATCCAACAATAATAAGATGCAGTAAAAGTATGAATAAAATAATGAATAGTCTATCATTCCAGTGTGTTGTAATGAGAAATGAAAGGAAACTAGTTAATAAAAAAATAAATATTAATTTTGTAATAGTAACAAAGAAAATGTTACACTGTATGATATGGAAAAGATACTTACAAGATAATTTGAGCTCGTTTGGACTCAAAAAAGTTCATAGCTGCATAACCCTGTTGATGCTCTATCATCTTCCAAGGAATTGCCAAACGGTACAAGTAAGTTCGACTCACTGCATGCATTCGGCTGTGGAAGTCATCAGGAACACGTAACACATTTGTGACACTATATTCAGAAAAGAAATACACATAGAATAGACAATACAGAGAATAATGATTTCAATTTAGAGGAGAAACTTGTAGAATGCTAAATTTATGACAATTTGGAAAAATATTCCTATTGAGATATCTCACAAGTCAAATATCATCTTCACAACTGAAATCAGATCCATTTTTTTGAATGATAATGATGTTTGATCAGCAAAATATTGCAACAGAAAAGTTTTTACAAATTTTCAATTCTTGTTTTAATCATTTTACCCCAAGCAAAGCAATAAAGCCACTAAGATGCAAAGGGGTTACTGAATGTGAAAGAATATGAAGAAAAAGACAAACATTATTAACCCTAGAAAACTAACCATCAATTAAAGTTACACCACTACTAACCATGGGTATATCATAACCAATTTTGAAAATATCAAAAAAATATTAAATTTAAATCTTTATTTGATATATTTTACATGCAGGCACTTCAAACTTTGTACTTTGAGTTAACATTAATAGGAACTGAAAAACATTATTTAGGTAAGAAAATCAGGTACTGAAAATTGTAATTTAAAATAGGAAAATTTGCGCTGGGTACTATATACCCATGGTTAGTGTTCCATGGTTAGGGTTAAGGAGAGAGAGAACAATATAAGAACAGGAATTTAGAAGACAAAAGATAATGCTTGGCATTGCATTCAACTGTAAAATGATGAGTCCTTGTTGCCAGTCTAGTACTGCAATTAATTTGCTTGGGGTGAATTGATTTAAAAAAAAAAAAAAAAAAAAAAAAAGATACAATTCCTGAGGCAATTGAGATACTTTCAGTTACCAACACCTTCCCAAACTTGTTAACTTGTTGAGATTTTTTTTCACAACTCCCATGTAGCTCCTCTGCTTATCTTTTATCTTTTAGTATTTTCTCAATATAAAATTGTAACTAATGTTTGTTGTATTTCATTCCCTCTGCCTATATATGGTTCCCCCAATAAAAACATTGATCTGAAGAAGTCTTTTCAAAAAAAATTTTTTTTTTATTATTTCACCTCAAGCAAGGCAATAAAGCCAATGAGATGCCAGAAGTGAAAGAACATCAGAAACATTATTAAGGAGAAAGAACAATAAAAGAACAGGAGTTAAGAAAACAGAAGATAACAATTGACATTGCATTTAAATTTTTGAAGATCAAAGTTGACTGGAAAACAAGAAGATAGAAGAGAATTCCATAAGCAAGAAGTGGGAGAGAAGAAACTGTCAGCACAGAACTTATGGTTATATCTAGCCATTTCAGCTGTCAAATGATGAGACCTAGCTGACAATCTAGTACTGCACTTAAATTCAAATCTAGGCATCAAAGAGGAAACCTCCTTAGAACAATTACCATAAAAATATTTATAGAAAAGGCACAGGTAAGATACGTTATGCTGGTGGGAAAGTGATTGACACCAAGATTTCATAAATTTTGTTGCCTGAAGATTGCAAGAGTGTGAAATTTGAATAGTGACTATATATTCTGTTTATACATTATCTTTATAGATACAAATATTTGAGTAAATGCTCTGTTTATAATAAACAGTATTAACAACATTTACTGGCCTGAATACAAATAAAAATTTTATGGAAAATATGTAGCCTCGGAGGATTTTGAACCTATATCCTACGGACGATGTTGTTACAATGCATTGAGATTTATAGCCACTTAAATACAGAGGAAGTGTTTTGGTTAGCAAGGTCAAAAAGAAATTTGTAAAGTTTAAAAACAGTAATTTGAGCTTTAAATAACCAGATACTCCTAAAAAGCTAAATGGTATAACACCTGTGGCTGTCACCTTATATGGTCCCAATGTAGGACAAGTTTGATTAACTGTCAGATCTACATGATACATATTTTTAATGAAATCTGGAAATCTTAAAATATTAAGGCCGGAAATGTTGAATATTTAATAAACAGATTTTAACTTAACTATTTGTTTCTATAAAATAATAAAAAACAGAATATATTTATATATATGTTAAATAATTTCTCCAAATAAAACTAGGACAAATAATTTACATTGGTTTTAATATAATCAATTTTGAAAAACATTTATTAAATATTAATTATTAACCATATGACAGAAATGAAGCACGGAAAAAAAGGTCTTGAGTCCAGAATTTTTGGACACACCTGTGTTATTCATCAATGAAGCAAGAAAAAAAACCTCAGAGAAATGGGGATTACCCACCGACAGATTTTTTTTTTTTTTAGACGGTGTATTTTTCTGGTAGGCCTGTCTATTATTAGTAGTAGGGGGAGCCAATCTTACTCCCCCACAGGAGTGTCTGAAAATTCTGTACTCAAAACCTTTTTTTCCGTGCTTCATTTCTGTCATATGGTTAATAATTAATATTTGTTAAATGTTTTTCGCACTGATTATATTGGTACCCTTTCATTTGTCCTTGTTTTATTAACTCACCTATCTATTTTACATACGATAAGAAGCATATGATCCTTTCTTCTAATTATATATATATATGTAAATAAAACAAAGGCACTCAGACTCTGCAGTTAACAAAAGGTGTACCTTTTCCGCAGCCAATCTTTATTAGTTTTTTCGTATTTTATGGAATATATGTTTCATAAAATTCCAGTCTGCTGTGTAATTTGATTTTGTTTTGTATTGTTAAAAATATATTGGCTGATATAGATACCTATTTGCTAGAGAGAGATATACCATTTCAAGTTATGGTTTTCTTTTTACTGGGTATATTATTTTTTCTTTCCATGATCAAAACAACGTTACCTACAGAAATATTTTAATCTTGGACCTCCCATTATAATAAATGTTCAGTGTACCTTTAAAAGTAAGTTAGCCTATTTAAAAAGAATCTTAGTAAAAACAGGCCATAATTTAAAAAAATATGTAGGAAAAATAAAGCAGCTTTAAACCACAAAGAAATTATTATTATTATTATGTTTGAATTGTATAATGCAAAACTGAGAAGAGAACCCAAATTACAGGAAAATATCTGTTATATATGTAGAGAGAAAGACAAAGAGAGAAAGAGGGGGGGGCAAGGCATGGTAAAATGTTAATAATGAGATAATTTAGAAATATTGATAAAAATAAAACATATACAAAAGATACATACACAATTGTTTCTTCATGTTTTCTCAGCCAATAATTCAGTTTTATTTTTATATCTTCAGGATTGTATTCAATACCCGGTTTCCTACAAAAGAAATTAAACAAATCATAAGAATTACAGCCTGCCACACCCAAAAATATTTAATTCTCTTGAATGTGGAAAATTCAGAATTTATTTTCTGTCTGCAGAAAAGATGAGCATGAACAGGCTGAAAAACATAATCAATAGAAAATATGGCGGCATAGGATTTGCTTGAAGTAATCAGTCTCAGAAGAAAAATGGCAACAGTTTAGATTTATTCAAATAAATTTTGTTGTAGTCTTCCTTGAACCCTTTCTTTTTTATTTTCCTTCTTCCTAAGTAATATTTTCTTAGATTCTTTCATTCTCAGTAACCCTCTGCATCTTAGTGGTTTTATTACCTTGCTTGGAGTGAAATAATTTACCAAAAAACAACATTATTTACATTATTCGGACTATTGTCCTCATCTTTGTCGCCATATTTATTACAACATTTTGGCCGTTGTACGCTCCAGCCTTCTTCAGGTGGTTGGAATGTCGAACTGAACCCTTTATTTTGCTCACTGGGGTATACTGTTCTAGTTCCACATGCCATGTTTAATGGATGTCAGTTATCAGTTATCTCCTGTTAATTTAAAGTTCTCCACTACCTTACCTGGGTATTGAACTCACACTCTTTGGGTCGTGTCACTGATCTAACTAACGCCTTTATCCACTGTACTATGTGTTCTTGAGGAAGAAGGCCGGAGTGTACAACGTCCGAAACATTGTAATAAGTATGGCAACAAAGATGAGGACAATAGTCCAAATAATGTAAATAGTGTACATAGTACCTCATCTCAGAAATATAGACAGATACTGAAAAAAAACAACATTCTTATTGTTTAGAATAGATAAAAAAAAAAAAAAAATATAAAGATGTATATCTAAATAACAAGAACGTTTTTTTGTAAATCATTTCACCCCAAGCAAAGGGATAAAGCCACTAAGATGCAGAGGATTACTGAGAATGAAAGAATCCAAGAAAATTTTACTGAGGAAAAACAAAGTAAAAAGGAAACGATTCAAAGAGACGATTGATGTTGCATTTAAATTTTGGAAGATCATAGTTGAGAAGAAAGTAAGAAGAGAATTCCACAGGCAAGAAGTGAGAGAGGAGAAACTATTAAAACAGAACTTAAAGTTACATCTAGCAATTTTGACAGAAAAATGATGAGACCTAGCTGCCAATCCAGTACTAAACTTAAATTCATGAAGTCAAGGTACCAAAGAGGAGAGCTCATCAAAACAATTGTCATGAACATATATTAAAAAAAAGCACAGGGAAGCTATGCTATGGTAGTGGTGAGGTGATTGAAGCTGAGATATTGGGTCAGGACTGATGACATTGCAGATTCTTCTATTATTGACACTGTTTTAGTTATTCATTCTTTATATAAAGGAAAATTCAGTAATATATCCGTTACACTTGGAGGTAAAATAGAACTTAAATTTTAGGTTTTATTTACCAGCTTAAAAAGAATTATCATAAATTTAAAAATATGTAGGAAAAAAAAAAGTAGCTTTAAATTGGTTCCCTTTTAAGGGGAAATAACCGGACCCTGTTTTCAAGTAGTAGTAACTTCCCTTGCAACCAAGCCCAAGAGTTGATTATAGATTATTTCTAGGATGTACTGTGTGCTGTAATGAATATTGGTTAACGGCTTGGCATAAGAAATCAGAGGACCGGGTTCGAATTCCAGCCAGTTACATTACGTTCACTTAGGCATAAATACCCTTGGGAAAGGTATTAATCCATCTCTTTTCCCTATGGGTAGAATAGCATGATAGATTGGGTCCTGTAGCTTTGGTTGGCAACCAGTTTACTGCAAAAAGAAACAACTTACTGCAGGAAAATCTCCTGCCTAATCAGTTATGAATCAAGAGACATGATTGCTCTAGAGTGTATCACATATAGCACTTAACTGACTGATCTTATTTCTAAAGAGTAAGTAAATAACCCATAATAGGTTGATAAGTTGTAAAAAACAACTCTATCAACAATCAACCCAGGTCAATTGTCATCTATCCTTCTTATATTCATAATCTTCACTTCCCACTAACTTGTCTTTCATTCATATCACACCTCATTCATCATAACCATTTGGTATCAAATAACAGAAACCACATCACTTGAGGATTACCAACAGCAGCAACAACTAAAATGGATAGCACATGTAACTCGAATAGAAAATAATGACATAAGTTGTCAACATTCCACACCAATTCAAATAAAAGGTTAGGATGGAAAGAGTGATGTTGAGAAACCTATTTTCCTGAAAAATTGTTTTAAGAGAAAGATTTTATAAATTTCAACCGAAAGTAGTATTAGTTGCTCTGTCATTGAATGCCAAATGTTTCCTTGCAGGGAAATGGCTAATATTACCATTTTAACAGTTACTCTGCATCTGGAGTGGTTCTTAAGCTTTCTACTGGGTGAACTTTGATATAAAAAGAAAGTTATAAAACCAGAAAAGGCTCTGAAAACTGAACATTTTTCCATCTGCACACCAAAACTCACATTCAAAATTTATTTTTGTTCTGCTTAACAAAGACTGAAAATTATTTCAATATTGCTTTGGCATAACCCAGTGGTTCCTAAACCTTTTTCTCTGAGCTGCATTTTCAAAATGAAAATTTGCTTGCACCTCCCCAAATTTTATGTGACAAAAAGTACATTTAAAAATAAAAATAAAAAAACAGAGGGAGTGTTAAAGGGAGATAACCGCAGATTTGAAGTCAGAACATTATCATTGATAACGCACTCCTCCAATTTGCAGACCCCAGTTACTATATTCTTAATACTTGATATAATATGAAAATATCACAAGGATAAAATCATTCAATAATTATTTATGACTATACTGGGACTCATGCATGCAATTATAAGTAATCTATAAAAATATTTTAAATTTTGAAATTATTTATTTTTGGCATATGAAGTTTTTGAAACTGTTTCTAAATCTTTGATTGTCTTTCAATCATTCCACCTCACCTGCTATCCTCTTCCACCACATTTATGAGGTGTGCCACACTATTTGGGAATTGCTGGCATAACCTATGTCCTAGTGCTATGAGTCAGGTATGCTTCTGTCATTCACAGATATTTTATTTATTTTTTGGTGATTGTTCTTCAATTTGCAAGATTGTAAAAAAACCTGAAGATCCCACAAGGATGTTGTTTAAATTAGCTTGAGAGTACTCAATGTGGCCCGCAAGGGATTTTTAAAATGATCAGAATAAATTCGGCAATTGATTGCACACAAAAATTCAGTTTTGTGAAAACATAAACATACAACATGACCCTTGCCTAATCTTTTCTCTGACTGGGCAATGATTACCCCATTAGTCTTAATCTCATCGGTGTGCACCAAAATCTGCAGAAGGGTGTGCTGCATGCTCACAAGTTAACATGATGAAAGATAAATACCATATCAAGAAATAAGAATGTGACCAGTTTCCCATGATTTAGATGTTTTAATCAGGGTTTTTGCCTGCTCATCCAGGTGGGTTGGGACAACTTCTGCTCTGTCAGCTCTTCCCCCTACCAACTCCTTGCCTATCTACTCATCAAGTCATGGTCGCTGGCAATATGAAATGGAAGCTTTGGAACCATGCGACAGACACATCCATCTCCTGTCAAGGATGAGCCCAAACTTTCCACTATTACAAGTATGGCTGTTAATATAAACCAGCACCTGGATATACCCTATTACCAGTTTTGTTGCCACTTGATCTCCAAAAACCCCTCATCCACCCTTTTACTTCACATTCCCCTTTGGTTAAAGTGGATGTGGCTTAGAAAACCAAACTTCAAAAGAAAACATCTGCTGGTCTATCAAACAGAAATATTTGAGATTGAGATGAAACCACTTCTTGCCTTTCTATGTGGGTCTCTGTAGTATCACAGAAGCATGAGTTTATTCAGACACTATTTATTATTGATTAAGACATACCTCCTTCAGAATGCATTCATGTATTAGGGTCATTTTCTTTTTCACTCAGTAGTCTTGTAGCCCATATGAGCAATATAGGACCTTCACACTTTAATTGTGCAGGCCTGCTTTAAATGAAGAACTACTTGTACTCAGTATTTACATTATTTATATTCAAGACTATTGTCTTCATCTTTGTTGTTGCTATCACAACATTTTGTCCATTGTGCCCTCTGGCCTACCTAGAGTGTATATTGATCTGGGTAACCTAGAAGGAATTCAGAACTGAACCCTTTATTTAATCTATGGGGATATACTGTTCTTGTTTCACTGCTCATGTCTAGGAACATCTTGTCTAGATCTTATTTTTATTTAGTACTATTCAGTTACTGCTTGCCTGTTTCCACTGAGTGGAAGTACACACTGCTTGACTCAGGGATTGAACTCACAACCATTATGTCCTATGAGATAATGGCTTTGTGGGTAAAAGCATTGGTATGTGAATTTGATTTTCTGTTTATTATCAATTCTTGGTCATTCTTATCTTGTTTCTTTCTCTTTTTACCATTCCTATTATTTTTTTCTTTGCTTCCTTCCTTTCAATGCTTGTGCCTGGCCAGCATCTTTACTTAAAGACCCCTACTGACTTATATAGACATTTTTGCTACCCATAATGCACTGGTTCTTTCTCTGTCTTTTGACCTCACATTCTCTTACTTCTTTCTCAGAATCTTTCTGGCAACAAGTGGTATTTTTCATTTATTGATATATTTGACCAACATTTCATCATCACCAAGAAGACCCCCAAATTTTCCTCAATCCTGATGAACGACTGTATTCTCAATGGGGCTCCTTAGCTTGAACATCAATTGAGACTAAAGCTCACTCTCGACCTCAAGTGGATGTATATGAATGATGGCTAAAAATGCTGGAAACAATGCTCAGTTCCTTGTATCACTTCAGAAAGTATCAAACGCCTCCTTCAGATCAAATTTCAGATCAGACAAAAATTGGAGTAGTGCTGTCATATTTGGGCTGGAGCTGCCCAGTCCTCACTTTCCAGGCATGAGGGAATTTAAAAGCATTTTCAAAGCCTTGTGGGTGATGAATTAATTTCAACTTAATAACCCCGTTCCCGCAGAAGAAATGTTGATAGTGATAGAGTAGTGAGAGGCTATTTCATGGAAAATGTTCAAACAAGCTGCATTCCTTAGTTCTACCAGTTCAGACTTTCACAGCTAGGACCTGCCATGTCACATATACATTGTCAGCTCCTCCTCATTCCTTTTGTATTGCATTGGTAAAGAGGAAGGTAGCTTTTTTCACCAGAAGTATAACTTTGTGGAACAGACTCCCAAGAGGATGCTTCCTTGATCACTATGATCCTAACCTCTTCAAGTTTATGGTTTGTTACACATCCCTATAATATGCACTTTTTTCTTCCTTCTCTTTATTCCCTTACAACAACTTCATTCTATAATTCTCTAGCTTGAGGGGCACTTGGGCTTTGCATTGAATGAACAATAGTATAAAAATATTCAAACCATATACAAATAACAAGAGCACCTTGACATGGTGTAATGGTTAGCAAGCTTGTCTCACTAACAGTTATGACTGAGTAGTGAGTTTGACCCTCACTGGATGCCTCATACTTTCAGCCTTGTGCCACATCTAAGCTATGTTTAGAAGATCATTATATTTTTCCATCCTATAAAAAGGACGATTTCAAAATTGAAAGATTCTGAAATGCAAAAAATATCCGGTTGTAAAGATTTTGGATAAAATGTTGTGTATTCATTTTCTAACTAATTTTTCTTCCATTTTACTTTTCTTGCTTTTTTATTGTGCTACTTAAGATGTTTTTACATTCTGCAATCAAAAAGCATGAATACCAGAAATAAAGAATAAGCTTCCGACAATATCTAAATTGTTATTCTCTACTTACTTGTGGATAAGATCTACATGCAAAGTATTTTCCAAGGCATGGACACCCGTATCCGTCCGACTTGATGCAAGGGTTCTTATTTCATTTGCTGGATTGAGAAATTTAAGAGCAACCTGTAAATTAAAAAAAAGTATATGAATTCTATTATAAAATAAGACGTATTTTTCTTTTTGTATAACGTAACTTGTTACTTTTCAGCTACTAATTGTAAACTGGAGGAACTATAGGATTAATACAAATATAAAATTTGTCACTTAGCTGATTGAGGTTATATTTACAACCTCTACTCCAGAGTTTCATAGATGAAATTTTGTGTAATTGTTCTGTCCACTTGTCAGGAGGTATCAGTAATTGTCTGCTAATTTTCTCATTTTCATTATTTTTTTATGAGTTTAAAAAAAAAAAAAAATTATGCACTTTTTTTTCCTGTTAGGTGAATTTTCTTTCTTCTTTGTGTGTGTGTGTATGTATGTGCACGTGCACACGCCTGAATGTGTGTGAATTTTCTTTCTCTGTGTGTGTGAATGCCTGAATGTGTATGTGTCTTTCTTTGTGTATGTGTGTGCACACACCTGTATGTGTGTGTATGTCCTCATGTGTAGGATGTGGTTATTTCTTCTGTTCATAATTTCTTTGTGTGTGTGTCTGCGTGCACACACTTGTATGTGTGTGTGCACCTGTATGTGGATGTGTGTGGGTGCACACACGCCTGTATGTGTGTGAATTTTCTTTCTTTGTGCATGCATGTGTGTTTGCACAAGCCTGTGTGTGTGTGTGTGTGCGCACACCTACATGTGTGTGTATGTCCTCATGTGTCAGATGTTGTGGTCATTTCTTCTGTTCATAATTTTATTCCTTTTCTTTTTTTTATCTTTTAAGTATCAAAGATAATGTAACAATGCTATTTCCAGTGTCCTATTTTTAGACTAATTTTTCTTGAATATTCTGGGATTATCTGAAGGTCTGAAAATATACATGTATTCTGTTTTTTATTTATGCCTTGTTTTTTTAATAGTTGTGTTGTCTAGCATGTTATGTCACATCTGTGGATTTTGTCTTATTATGTTTGGATTCTTTGACTCAGTGTTTAATTGACTGAAATGGAATTTCTTCAAATACCAGGCTCTAACAAACATAACTGATGCATATTCATTATTACCATTGTATTTTATTGTTGTTGTAACAATTTCCAAATTGCATAAATGTAGTCAACAGAAGAACGTTTCTGGTTTGAAGTTTGCTGTAATTCCAATAAAATCTTTGGGAATACCAGCTGCTGTAAGCTTGGATGTGCAGGTGGTGTAATGGAAAATGAGTTGAAATTTTTAATCAGAGAGTCGAGTTCCATTTCCAGCCAAGTTTGTTATATTCACTTATGCAAAAAATCCTTTGGGAAAGGTATGAATCCACCTCTTTTTCCCCTCAGCTATGGATTAATTAGTAATTATCACTAAAACCATTATTATCTCAAAAGAAATATTACTTACAAAACATTTAGATTTTGGCATTAAATGATCCATAGGAGTGTTGATATGCTGCTAAACAAAAACAAACAACAATAAAATCTTCTGGGAACTTACCTTGTCACCAATGATGAATCATCCTGTTTTATCGTTGCAGAAGGAAAACTCTCATCTCCTTCCAGCTATTTTCATAGGCAATGGACATTGATGACCTTGCTAAAATTGTAACTTAATTTTTTTCATGTTGGCAACTTTCAACTTAATACCACGATATCAAATAGTATTTTGTAAGAATTTTATCATAGTACATACTTTAGTTTCAAAGTTTTCTTTTGAAATGCTGTCTTTGTTCAGAATAAATGAATGAATTAAGAAAGGAACAAACAATATTGTACTTTTATAAACATGTCATACAGAAATATGTGACATATGTGATGATGGCATTTTAAAAATGGAAGTTGAGCTTAAAAAATGTATTTTGATTAAAAAGCAAAACTAAAAATAAATAATGTATGATATGATATCTTTATAATGAATAATTTATCCAGTAAAGAGTGGGGGGGAGTAAAAAAAAAGAAAAGAAAAATGACTTTTTGTCCGGATTTTTAGGATCAGGTATTTATATTTGGTCCCAAAAGCACTGGTTCATGGATTTGGTGACATAGTAAATGTGAGTTCAATCCCTGGTCCAGGTAGTACAAACTCTGACAGCTCACGGCCATGTTGAAACACTGGTTCTTGTACGGTAATTGAAGTTAAGCCTGGTCAGTACCTATTTCTATCCAATTCCACTTTTCCTACATAACTGTTACACAGGCACCTTGCTAGAACAATTACAACTGAGTATTGAGTTTGATCCTCACTGGGTGACCTATACTTTTGGCCTCTGTCACATCACCATAACTGTTACACTACCTCCCCATCAAGGCTTAAGGCTACATCATATTGAAACACCAGTTCCACTATGATCATTGAAGTTAAGCAACTTCAAACCTGGCCAGTACCTGGTGACTGTTTGGGAATTCCAGGTGCTGTAAGCTTGGATGTGCAAGTGGCATAATGGATAATGGCTTGGAATTGTTAAGCAGAGAGCCAAGTTCCAATTCTGGTTGGGTTCAGTACACTCCCTTACGCAAATACCCTTGGGAATGGTATGAATCCACTTCTTCTCTTCCAAGCTATGAGTTAATTAGTAGGACTTGTATCAGTAAATCATTATTATCTCAAAAAAAAAAAAAAAAAATCTTATAATCTAAAAATATTGGTTTTACATAACCTGTAAAAGCCATAAAAAGAAATCAATTGATAGTCAAAGAGGGGCTAGTAATAACTGAGCATGACTGATAAAAGAACAAGACAAATCCCTAAACACAGACAGTGGAATAAGGACAATGGACCCCTCCATGGATTAAATAAAGGGTTCAGTTTGAACATGAATTAATTTTAAATGCAATAATAGGAAGTTGTGGAGAGCCATGATCGCCAACGTCCTGAAGGAACATATATACAGAATGTTGACAAGTGAGAATCAAAGTAATTACAATGTTGTCAGAAATGAAGAGAATAGCTATGAGGTGGGGATCCATAGATAACACTACAAAAGTAGTGACTATAATTATCAGCAAATAAATAACTTAGTAAATACAGTTGCCAGTAAGAAGTAAAAGCTGATAGGTGTTGATTCAAAAGCATTGTTACAATAATTGATTCAGTGACAAATAGCAACTGTACATCAAAGCAATTTTACAGGCAATAGAAACAGAAAAGCTTTGAAATACAAGATGGAAGTTTTGCAATAATATTTAGTATACAGGTTGCTAGGCAACTGACGATGAATGATCAATAAGGCATTTAGTATGCCATACAGAAATTTGCAATATTGAATAAAAGTAACCAAGGAAGACTTTTAGTACATCATGTATGACAGTATTGGTGGGCAGAGTTCACATTCTAGACTAATTCTATTTTATTCACTTTTTTACAAACGCCCTTGGGAAAAGCATGAATTGTCTCTTTTCTACTAAGTTATAAGTTAAATAACAGAGCAGACTGTGCACTCTAGCCTTGGGTGGCAACTAGTCTAAGAGAAGGAAAACTCTGAATACCAAACTATGGAGAAGACAACAGGAAACTACCCCATCATGTTCTGCAAGAACGTATGGCAATTCATAGATAATGAAGAAATATCAGTGGAAAGTTAATCACTAAAACATTATAAGGTGTGTTATGAATTTGCAACACAGAGATATGAACCCCAGGTTCAAGAAAAAAAAAAGAAAAGGTGGGTTTGCTCACATAGGAACACACAAATGAATACCAACAAATAACAAACAAAAGATGAATGTTTGTAAATAATTTTATATAACCAAAAAACAACAAAATATGAGAAGAGTATGGTTTGGTTTACGGTATATCAACCTCAATGGGTTATTTAATGCTGACAAAATTTTTATTGCTGGTAATGTTTTTCTTCAAAAATCTATTTCTGGGAATATTTTTCCCTGAAGAAATCAATAGCTGGTCATATTTTTTTCCAAAGAATGTAGAGCTGTTTATATTGCTGGTACTTTTTTTTTTTTTAAAGTATTGCTGTTTATAATTTTTCCTTCAAAAATGATTACTGGTAATATTTTTTTATATTACAAGGTGTTTCTGGTATTAAAACCTATTTTTACACAAGTTTGGGTGTCAAATATTTACCCATAGCTAGGACCCTAACAGGTGCTACCACCCTGGGTCAGCAATTAAGAGGTGGTTCCATGCTCCTCAAATCTTCCTGATCAGAGGCCTTGCTGTTGGACACATTTTATCATCTTACCCAGAACACGAATGTAGTTTATTGTCATATCCAGGATGGGGGGAAGATTATGGGTTGACAGATGTAAAATCAATAAAAGACACTAATCTGATACTGGATGCTAGTTCAAGCATTCATGTTTCATGAATTTTTAAGTTCAAATGTTTGCAATGGCAAATAGAGTTACTGTAAAATTTCTACATAAAAGTCAGTGGTTCTTCTTTCTGTAACATTAGATATTAGACTCTGGAATAGTACTTATATTTCATTTTCCCTCTGGTAATCAAATTACATCCAAAATAAAATTGGGGTGATATCTCCAGGTATAATATTTCTTTATTCTTTACCCATCAAATAGTTGAATAAATCCATGATTTTCAGGACTGATATTTCCTTCTTCCTTACACAACAAGTAATGGAATAAGTTTATAGGTGCATCTCTCATGATCATGCTATGACAGTTGATTTTCACACGATCTGTTGTAGTCAGAGATTATCAGGAAACTGAAATTACAATGCCAAAAATCCCATGTGGTGGTGTATGTCATGTGAGCTTGGGTGACTGACTTTTACTTACTCTGTTAGGATGTCAATCATGTCTAGTCATCAAGCAATTCAGATTCCTTCCTGTCATTTCTTAGTCAAGACAAAACTGTTTAGGCAAGAAATAAAAAAAAAAATGAAAGAAGAGGAAACACAAAAACAGCTTGTCTCTTAATAAATTGATCATACATCAGATTTAACATTCAATATTGAAGGCCATATCACAGGTGTGTAATCACCAAACCATTACATGGAGCATAATCACTAAATTTCAAAGCATTGAAAAAAAAATAACTAAAGGCAACATATT